CACTCTGCAGTCAAGATTTCTCAGATTAATGACAGATTTGTTCTCAGTGAAGAAAGCAAGCTTCATTCTCTAGATATATCCACTGGTGACTTCCAGAAGCATGGTGTGTGTTTTAAAGGAAGGAAAGTAATGATTGTATATATCTAAACTTCTAGTTGTTGCAGAGAGACATACCATAAAAGAGTGAGCATCAGAGGGCAGGAGAAATTGCAGCTTGCTTTTATAAATAAATGTGGGACTGAAGTAAAAGTAAGTATTCTCCAGTGCCTGCAAGAATGTTCCAAGAAAAATCCAACACAAAACCTCACTACTAAGATCTTTAGACGTCTCCAGAATTGAAAACTACAAAAAGAACTACTGAGACAGTGAGGCACAGTTGCCGTTACAACTAACTGTACATAAAAAAACCAAACCCAAGTCAGAATTCATATACATGTATTTTGAGTTGTAATTAAAAAGCCCAGACTATCCCTTCTTTATCCCCCATTCTTATGAACAGTACAAAAAGTTGAAAACAAGTATTAATTTACCCATTCCTCCACTCATATTTCTTCCAGTGCTAAATAAAATCAGCTGTTCTGAAATCAAATTAAAAATCCATCTAGTCCCATAGCAGATGTTTCCTGTACTGCATCTTTAGTTCTCCCCCAATTATAGCTCAAGGATATCCTTGAGTGCTAACCACCTATTAAATATCCAAACACTATTATTCTAACAGTTTATCTTTTGGTATCTACAATATCTTCATGGCAATAAGTTTTGTAAATTAACGATAACTTGTGTGTAAAAAATCTGGCTCTTTGATGCCTAGTAATTTCATTTTTGATCTCTAGTTTCATATTACTCAGGTCATGAGATCAAGGAATAATACTTTTAACCTATGTTTTAACCTCTAAGCTATTTCTGCTTTTAATGATCTTACTTTTCCTGATAGTATTCTCTTTTCCAGGCAGAAGAATCTGAGATGACTGCCAACACGTTGTAAAATAGAAATTTCATTTTAGTTTCCTAAATCTGCATCCAGTCATTTACACAACAGATAGGAATATTAGTTCCCACAATGACCAGCCAATATAGTTATCACTGAATTAAACATGACAGAAATTATGGCCATCTGTTTAGTGTTTCTTTTTAATAATGACATTTCCATTATTCATTTGGCACAATCATATATGAATTATAGCTTCAAGGATATTTCAAAATGCTTTGGCAAGTCCTTGAAAACAGCACTGTAGTATTTCATGGACATTATGTTTTGAAGCATCAATCAGCTTTCTGGAAAAAAAAGCTTTCAGTCACATTACTCAAAATACATCGGTTTTTAAGTGTCAAGACCAACAGCAACATTGAATCTCAAGTACTCCCTGCCTGAGGTGTTCTGCTGGGTGAGAAAATCCTGGTGAGCCCAGAAGCAGTCAGTTCACAATATACTGCATTCTCAGTTGTCTTCAGTCCATAGCTCTATAAACTCAAGTATCATCATGGCTGTGTGAGAACAGCATGAGAACATGTCCTCAGCCAACACTGCAGCTTTCTCCATGACCTACAGGAGTTGCTCCAGAACATTCCTGTATTTTACAACTTGCATCTTGGCACAGGCTGAAGATCTGAGTGGTCAACTGCCCAGCTTTTTCCTTCCCTTTTTACTCCTCTTGTGAAAGGTCCCAACTGGTTCCCAGTGTTCTGGGTGTCAATTATTCTGAACAGATTAAAGGCGCATGCTTTCTTGTCTTCCTAAAATCAGACAGGCTTTGCAAGGGATGTTCTTCTCTCCTTAGATGGGAAGGTACTGAAAATGCAGGACCAGACTGTGGGAGATCAAGTGGGGTAAGGGTTGGGAGTGAAGTTACTGTCCTGAAGTGGTGCAGCGTTATTCATCAAGTCAGCTCCTTTTCCCAAATTACAGCAGAATAGCAAGTGCATCCCTACTGACTCAGGAAGCCAAAAGGCTGCTTTGTCATGAAATTATCTTCATGCCTCAAGCAAGCATTTTCCATGCCCTAAATGCGTATTTATAATCTTGCTTATAGAAAAATACAAGCTGTACCGTACAATAGGAGCTCTGCCGTAACGGCTCTAAAACTTAGGGGTTAGCAGTTCTGCCATGTTGTGTACAGGCAATCAAGTGCCTGTCCCACTTTGGGAAAGATACCATAAATTCTAAGCTAGCTGGAAGATCATACCTGTTATTTATAAAATCATTAATCAATAGAAGGATGTTGTAGTATGTTTTACTATGTTACATCTTTTGATAAAGATGTTTAGATAAAAACTCCTCTATATGAACTTACCAAACCACCTCTTGACATGAGGATTTCTTTGGGATGGAAGGGTTCTTAAACAGTAATTTATGAAAGAATTCCAAGGTGCATGGACAAGTAAGGTGATTTCAGGGATGGCATGTGAGACAGGTGAAAATGGCTAACTCTTCAAATGCACATGCAGCAACATACATAGAGCCTATCTCCAGCACAAGTGCTATTTTCAGGTTGCAGGAGGAGTTAAAGCTTTCAGAAAGGCTCAGCCGAGCAAAATTAAGAGTTTACTGCATTCTCGACCCATATATTTAAAACATTAAGGTGGTTTTCTTGTTGAGTGTTAGAAGTTGCAAGCCTGGGAAAATTCAGCAGTGGTTATCACAAGAAACCAAACACGTATGTCTTGCCCTCCTTCTTCAGAACTTGACAGCTGAACTCTAAATTCTAACTAGGTATCATCACAAACATAGAAATTGCAATTAAGCTCTGTGCAGTCATGTTCAAAGTCCTCAGGTTTCCTTATTATCCTTCTTACAGTGGAGTCTATGGTCACTTGGAACAGACTGCCAAACATAATCCTAGTATTAATTAATTTAAACCCACTATCATAGTTACAAAGTGGCTCTCAGAAAAATGGTTCTGTTTACTGAGTACTATAGTTTGGGTACTAATTCACTGTTCTTGCATGGTGATTGAACTTTTCCTATAATATGCAACATTTAAGGTGATCAATACTTAAGCTGTTCATTTGCTGCAAACCATCACTTACTGGAACCTGCACAGGTTGGTGAACATTTAAGCAGAAACATAACCATGAGGATGACAATATTTCTCTGAACTGTGTGATCCCAGTCTTGCACAGGGTTCATCTACAAAAGGAAAGCTCAGTTTAGTTTAATACCTGTTTTTGATAAGCCCAATATCATATAATGAAAATTAGGAATTGAACTCATTGATGATTCTGTTCTGCTGTAGCACCAGGTTTCATGCTTTTGACCAAGTTTCTGTAAACTGGAACAACTGGCTGTGATATTAATTAAAAAAAAATCTTTTATCTTTAGGTTTTAAAATCTAAAACACTAAGGGAGATACAGTTAGAATGGAGAATCATGAGGACAAGGCATAGCATGTTTTAGGAAGAGTGGGTTTTGGTTTACTTTAAAAGATGGTTATACTGAACATATTTCAGGCACAATTAATAAGAGACTTGACTTACAAACATAGAAACAGTATTTGTGGTAAAAAAAGGCACGGCTGCATTTCATTATTTCAAGAGGTACTCCACTACTAATGACCTTGACTTCACATCAACAAATAACTGGTCTGCATTAGTTAAGAAAAACACAGCATGGTCAGATAAGGGGTAAAGAGTAAAACTGTAAATATATATTGGCTAATTTCACTGTGGGCTTGTATTTGACAACAGTGCACAGATCACATGAGGAAGTTCCTGTTCTCAGACCACCTGCTGCACTGTGCTGGCACAGCCATCTATGCAGCTCCACGCATGCCGTAATGTCACATGATAGTTCAGCTCCCTGATTCAGGCTGTCAGACACCCAAGAGTGTGGGCACAACGCAGTGTGAGACCCAAGGGCACTTAACAGTGTCCTAGGGGCACTTCAGCTTGCTCTGCTTTCAAACAAGAAGTACTCACATAACCTGTACCAGAAGAGAAATCAAAATTGCATTTCCTTCTATGAAAAAACATCAGTTTCACTGCTTTGAACTTGGTCGCCCAGACTGACTCATCATTAGCCAAATATCTCACAAAATCTTACTGCAGCATTTTAAAAGATGAAGTAGGAAAGTTTAGGACAAAACGCTCCCACTTGAATAGCTGAAATCCCCTGAAATTTCCTCAAATTAAGTTTTTATCTTTACTTTCGTTTGGAAGGTCCAAAAGTTGGTTACCTCTCATGTGTTTTATTCCATACAGTGTTAAAATATGAACTGAGCTAGTAATATCAGTATTATTACTACAGAGAAAAAGTACTGCTCTTAGGGGAGATGGGGTACAATTTGTTAATACAGTTAGTTTCCTTCACACTTCTTTAAAAAAGTGTAAGAAAAAAAAAAAACAGGAACTCCACTGTAGCACCGAAGGAAAGCAGGAATATTTTCACATCCACAGCCATATTCTGTGCAGCAAGTGCCATCTAATAGCAGCATTGCTTTCACTAATCCCATACACATGAGGATATTTCAAAGCATTACTGTTGAGCAGCAGTGTCAGAACATTTCCACAGGAGTTGAGAACATACCCTATAGTCAGACATTCCCTCAAATTCTTGTTACACTTTGTAGTCCTGTTTTAACAATGAGCTTTCAAAACTGTCCAAGACATGACAGAACAGAAGCAGATTAATACTGTAAGATTTAGTAAAGTTTTAGCTTAATATAAATATCACATTATTTCTATTGGTATTTCTTAATACGTATTTAATTTTTAGTTCGCTAATGCCCAAGTCTTTTTTTAATCCTATGAAAATACCTGCTACATGAACAAAACCAGACATGGGTGTGGTGAGGCACTGACACAGGTTGCCCAGCAAGGTTGTGGATGCCCCATCCCTGGAAGTGTTCAAGGCCAGGCTGGATGGGGCTCTGAGCAACCTGGTCTAGTGGAAAGTGTCCCTGCCCACAACAGGGGGGTTGGAACTAGATGACCTTTAACGTCCCTTCCAACCCAAACCATACCATGATTCTATGATGTGATTCATAACATAGTTTTTTGCATACCATTAGTTTCTGCAAATTTCTGAATATCAGCCAGAGTTTTTAGTTCTTTCCTTGGGCAAGCTGATACACACAAAGCAAGTGACTTGATCCTCTGGTGTACTAGATCAATGTTGCATGGATCCAGGAAGAACACATACCTAGGGAAGAAAAAAAAATAAATTACTTCTATTTTAATTAACAATTACACTGAACAAAATCAATTTCATTTCAAACTAAAGGATTCAGCTAAGACTAACCTTCAGTCTACCCAGAAACACAGGAAATTTGCTATTACCATAATTGTGAGTCAAAAGAATATGCACCACAAATACATAGATATTTATATACTACTGGATCACACAGAAAGGATGTTTAACCATACCAGATTCAAGTCCATTCAAATGGTGCTCTTCATAAAAACAGCAGCACTTCTACCATGCCTCTTCACAGATATGAGTCTAAACATTCACAAAGCTTCATTCCAACCTTAAACTTGACTTCAAGATTTCCAACTTTTTCAAAAAAGACCCAACAAACCCCATAAGGTTATACTTATGCTGCAAAAAGGACAACGTCCATAGCTACTTTAATGAATACGCATAATACCAGCAATTAAGATCAGCTTTTTGGTTTAGATTGATTTTCCACACCACTGGTCCATATGACTGAGCAGATTACTTTAGTATTTATATAAAAATAAAAATTGTTCAGATATTTCAAGTAGAACTATCCAATGTTCAAGTGCAGTATTTTAAAGAGATTCTATTTGCTAACTTTCCATGATGAGTCACTGTCATTTAAAAACCCAATGCATGAAGAATGTCTTATAGCTTCCTGGCTAACATCCTCTCCTGGCTATACACATTTCACCACAAACATTAACCCTACAGTATTGTCCATTCATGGTATAATACAGATGCAGAATGTTTTTCTATTTTGAAGTTGAACAAGTCTTTCAAATTCCTACAATTCTAGTGATATACTATGCATTGAAACACTCTCTTCATATTATCTAACATCACCATAGGAAAACACCAAACTGCCATATAAAATGCCATTTCTGTTTTTGCAGTCCTCATGATGGGAATTCACTCTGTAATTAATAAAAAACCTTCCTGCTCCTAGAAAGCACTTAGGTCCTGCCTGAACACTTTCAGTCTATATGCCAATTGCTGTCTAACTTTCCCCCACAGAATGACTGTTCTATTATCCAGTCTCAGTATACAAGAATTATTAGTACTTAATACAGTGTTACTTCCTGACAGTCCATCAAAACCCATGTTATCAATATCAACTGTAATATGGTAACAGACTACTTGCATTCTTAAAACATTCTCTTTCCTTGTCCATACATCCTTCCTTGTTTCATATCCATAGAGATGAAAATTACCCAGTACTATTTCTGTTTTTTTCTTAATACATACTACACATCTCAGGACTCCATAGATCATGAAAGTCTAACAAGCAAGTGCAAACAGGAAAACTTCCATCCCACAGACACAGCCAAAGTAACCGCATGTGAGCAATAAGCCACTAATTCCACAGCTTTCCTTTATTTCAAAGAAAATACTCTTGAGTTGATACCAAGATATACAATACTTGTATTAGCTGGACACTCCTGTTACAACTTCCTCTTCATGAAGGCAAGTTCCTGCAGTTGCTATTCCATACCGTAAGGCTACATGTAAGCACAGTGTCTGCTCCTTTGAGGGTATCTGGTCAAAGAAGCTACAAACAAGAACCTACTAAGTCAAACCTGACTGACACTGCTAAGGGAGGTTGTGATGGGAACAAATCTGGTCAGTTGCACTAATTGGTAAGGATATGGGGAGTGTGAAAATTCTCATCTTTCAGTAAGATTATCTAGCTAAGCACCTTACCAAATTGTGATGATAAGGAAAAGCAGGGAGACACTTGACATAAAACTTGACCAAGGAAAACAATAACCAGAAACAAACTCAGTCAATCACAGTAATTGATGGGCTATCAAGAAACTGCAGGCAGGGACTTTTCAACTGGTAAGGATGCAAACCTGAAGGTGCAGGAGGGGTCAGTGGGACTGTGCCAAGCTGCTAAGGGAATGTGCAAGAGACAGGACTCGGGCAGAAACAAGAGGGAGGGGCAGATGGAAAGAGATGGAAAAGGGGACAGTTCCATGTAGGCTGATGTCAGTCAGCAGTACATTGGTCTGATTGAGCCCAGCAGCTGATCACTGCAGTCCGTCCTATCCTTTTACTAAATCCTTTCTTAACTCTCTCCCTGCGTAATTCCAGTCTCTATCCCACGTGCACAGATGCTGCAAATGCTACAAGGACTAAGTGCTACTGGGGGGACTGGCATGATGGATTTGGTGCCAGCACTGGAGTCGGACCAGTGGTGTGGGTGCACCAGATCTGTGGTGTCAGCTCCCAAAGTGAGTGGGGTCTTAGTGCCAGCAACTGGGTCAGGGAGGGGTCTTGGCCACCAGCCACTGGGCTGGTGTCCTGGTTTCAGCTGGGATAGAGTTAATTGTCTTCCCAGTAGCTGGTACGGTGCTGTTTTGGGTTCAGTACAAGAAGAATGTTGGTAACACACTGATGTTTTCAGTTGTTGCTAAGTAGTGTTTATAGTAAGTCAAGGATTCTTCAGCTTCTCATGCCCAGCCCGCAAGAAGGCTGGAGGGGCACAAGAGGTTGGGAGGAGACACAGCCAGGACAGCTGACCCCAACTGGCCAAAGGGGTATTCCATACCATGGGACATCATGCCCAGTATATAAACTGGGGGGAGAGGGGCTGGGAGGATCACCATTCAGGGACTAACTGGGCATTGGTTGGCGAGTGGTGAGCAAGTGCATTGTGCATCACTTCTATATTCCAATCCTTTTATTATTATCGTTTTATTATTGCTATTATTATCATCATTAGTTTCTTCCTTTCTGTTTTATTAAACTGTTCTTATCTCAAGTCACAAGTTTTACTTTTTTTTCTGATTCTCTCCCCCATCCCACTGGGTGGGGGGGAAGTGAGTGAGCAGCTGCATGGTGCTTAACTGCCGGCTGGGGTTAAACCACAACAGGTAGGAACAATGTGTGTCCCGAAAAAAACAGCTACAGAGGTGAAGGGCTCAGTGTAGGTGACTGGAGCAGGACTATGAGTCACAGCCTGTGTGGTTCTCTCTGTTGACAGGGGCTGAGCATCTGTACCTTCCCCAAAGCGGGTGTGCGCATGTGTAACTCAGCAGCAAACTCCAAGCTGTACCAGCTGGTGAGTAGGAGGCTCTGGGTCCACGCAGAGTTGTCAGGTGGGTGGAGGGTCTGTGCTGGTATTTGGGGGGAACCTGTGAGTATGGGGTGCCTGTGGGATGAGGGTGTGAGTGTTTGCTAGTGAGCACCAAGCTGGACCAGCTGCCAAGTAGAGGGGACCCACAGGGCAGGTAAGGGGGCCTGGGATCAGGGTGCCGGGTGGGCAGAGGGGCTGTGCTCGTTCTTGTGGGATTCGTAACTGTGCATGTGCTTGTGAACGTAGAGAGTGTCATGTGTGTGGCTGCACTAACAACCTTCTGTCTCTGCCAGCCCATGAGGAGGAGGGGATGTGGCTGGCTGTGCTTGTGTTTATGCAAGTCCCACATTATGGGCACTGTTGAAGGCAGCACATTGTCAGTGCCAGTCCATGTAACCAGCCACGTCAGTGTCGCATGTGTGTCTGTCCATCCACAGCCCTCAGCCCAGACAGACACCCTGGGTCCCAGGACCGATCAGGCTGGGCTCCAGTGGCTGGATAGGAGACTCCTCCAAAAGTCTCTTAACACATATTACGTAAGGAAACCAAGCTAGAATCCAGCCCACTTCTGCAATGATTCAAACTCAAAGGCCAAGCTATAATTTTAATGGCCAGAAGAAATTAGAATATTTTGTAAAATAAACACTACAATTTTAACTCAAGCCTGGAAATTTAGACGTACAATTCAACTAGAGTGCCATATGCAGTTTTGACAGAAGTGTGCTGTGTTGGCATACCCTTAAATGGACACATGTAAATCAAACACTGCATTGCATGGTTCAGAGACAGTTCTGACAGCAATAAGGCAGCTGGCAAAGCAAACTCCAAGCTATCAAACCTGTGGCTTCAATCCATGGTCTAGGAAGACCGAAGGAAGATTTTTTTTTTTTAATTTATTTTATTTTTAGCAACTAAAACAAGAATCAAAATGCTAGGCACCAGCATTACAGAGGAAAAGGTATTTTGGTTTTTGTTTTTAAAGCTTACTTATGGGAAGTGAGTGATTTTAGTACAGAAAATTCCATACTGTGTCCACAGAACGGGTTTTGTTTCTCACTAGAACAACATACTTACATGCTTTGTGCTGGAATTTCAGTTATTTAGAATCAACAGTAGACTAATTTGTTGATAAGAAAGTAACTTAGATCAACAATACAAAGACTGAAGTAAACCAAGTATTCATATTGTTAGAGATGCTTCAAGACTGCACATGAAAATTTGTTTGCTACAGGGAATTCAGTATATCAGATTCACAACCTAGGAACCATCTTTATGAAGTATCAGCCTTGCAGAGAAGGACTTGGGGGTACTGGGGGATGAAAAACTGGACATGAGCTGGCAATGTGTGCTTGCAGCCCAGAAAGGCAACCATATCCAGGGCTGCATGAAAAGAAGCATGGCCAGCAGGGCAAGGGAGGTGATTCTCCCCCTCTACTCTGCTCTCGTGGGACCCTACCTGGCATACTGCATCCAGCTCTGGGGTCCTCAGTAGAAGAAAGGCATGGACCTGTTAACGGGGGCCCAGAGGAGGCCCATGAAAATGAGGAGAGGGCGAGAAAACCTCTCCTATGAAGAAAGGCTGGGAGAGTTGGGGTTGTTCAGTCTGGAGAAGAGAAGGCTCTGGGGAGACCTTATTGTGGCCTTTCAGTACTTAAATGGGGCTTACAAAAAAGATGCAGAGAGGCTTTTTACGAGGGCCTGTAGTGATAAGACAAGGGGTAACAGTTTTAAACTAGAAGAGTGTAGATTTAGATTAGATATAAGAAGAAATTCTTCACCATGAGGGTGGTGAGACACTGGACCAGGCTGCACAGAGAAGTTATGGATGCCCCATCCCTGGAAGTGTTCATGATTGGGTTGGACAGGGCTTTGAGCAACCTGATCTAGTTGAAGATGTCCCTGCTCATGGCAGGGGTGTTGGACTACATGATCTTTATATGTCCCTTCGAACCCAAACCATTCTGTGGTTCTGTGATTCTTTGATCTTAACAATCCACTTTTCTGAAAATCGAAGTCTGTTAAAAGAACCTCTGAAATACAGCATGATGAACAAGTTACTTGAGTAACAACAACTGCATGTAATTTTTAGTATGTCTACCTCCTGTCACCATAATAAAAATCAGAAATTTTAAGCTCGTCTTTAATTTTAAGCTAATTCCTATACATAAAGGAAAATAAGGAAAGAGTTTATTTAACTTTTCAAAAGCCATGATGTCTGAAAATAAGGTCAAGTTGTTAATCATGAGGCATGTAATCCAAAATGAACTTCATTACAACTTTTCAAAACACACCGTAACATTTTTTTTACAGTTCTATAGGTTAACCTTCCTTATGCTCTACTATGATTTTGAGTTTATATTGCAATGTGTTTCTTTTTTCACTTCTGAAAGAAAAATCTAGATTTCTAGGCAAGTAATTAGAAATATAATTTCAAACTGACCAGAGTTAAAAAAAAAAAATACCCCCCAACCCCCTCAAATCAACAATTTTGGCTTCTGACTAGTAGCTTACTAGACAAGTGCCTACTACCTACTTATGCCCATGAGAAATACAGCAGTCTCCTCTTCCCTTGCAAAACCAGGGAGACAAAGCAACATCATTTTGTACCCTACACCTTGATTCTGGAAGCATTGTGGCAAATCCTATGAACAAGCCAATCTTACCTTCAAGTAATTTGTACACTCTTACATCTGCCAGTGTCATTGATTTTCTGTGAGCTCTTAAGGCATCTCTTTATAGGCAAATGAGCACTTTACAGAACAACCTTTGCTGTGATCTACAAGCATCTTATCACAATAATGGACAAGTGAATTAAGGGATCACACCCACTCTAAACAAATTTTGGGTAGGGCATATACATTTTCACTCAAACCAAATTCTCTGTATGCATGCTGCAAACTGTCCCTGGGCTTTCCCACTACCTAACCCCAAGCATTCTCCTGAGTCAAAGGCATTTATTAAGGTGGAATGCCATCCTAACTCTTCCTTACAGTGTCACATGCACATATTCTTATACTTGAGTGATCAGCACAAACTGGATTCTGTCCAAGCAGCAAAATCAGACTGAACTAGCATTTCAGGGACATATATTTGGTTGCCATAGTCATCATTTATTTGCAGATAAAAGGTCTTTTTTTAACCCTCTTACAACTGCCAGAACTTGAAAAGCAAAAAGCTTATTTGGAGCAGATAGGTTTAATGAGAATTCACTGCCAGGGCTAGACTATAATCCCGTGTCTGACTCTAGAGCACAGGCTATTAAAGCTGTACTGTGTTTTCTTTGTAAAAATAAAGAGGTGCCTGATTCACTTTGTTCATGAGACCAGGCTGTAAAATCCTCTTTCCCAACATTTCACCTCACTGGTTTCAGCATATCTGATGCACACAGATCAAATCCTATCCCCGTGAGGACTCTGCTTTTCATCCTTACCACCCAGATTTCCATATCCACACAGACCACATCCATTTCACTTCCTCATTACAGTGCCTATGGGTTGCTGTCATTTGCAAGGAAGAAAACGTTATTTTTACAGATGATTTAGCTTTTCTGCCTTGGACTGGGAAATGAAGACAGAATTACCCTGCAAGCAGAATGAAATGAGAATAACTTTGTGTTTCCAGAACCACATTTGTAGAGCTTAAAGCCTTTACCTTCTCGACACAAACTGAAATGTACAGGCAGGAAGAAGAGTTTATTTTTACAGTCTGTCTGAAAAGTACTCCTATAAAATAGCACAAAATACTCCCATGAACTGCACCTCAGACACTGCAGGAACTCCATCTGCTAGAAACAGATGCAAAGCAGATAGTTTCTTCTGAAAAATTGCCAAGCAAATTTAAAAAGCTATAGCTTTTAAAAGTAGTGTGAGAGTGGGAAGGATCACTCGCTTATATAAGAACTGGCCTCTTCCAAAGCTGGGTACCCTGGACTGTACCAGGCACTTCACTGTGAACAGTTATAATCATCTGCCTTGGTAGAAGGTTTTCTCTCACTCTCACCCAAGTAGGGATCATGATATCCCATATGAGTGTATCCATTCATTTGCTTAGGTCATGCCTCAAACCCTGATACCTTTACTAGGAAAACATAATCCTTGTGAACCTTATTAAGCCTTTGATAAGCAATGGGTTCTGTCTACTAACTGTGTTAAAAATAGTCTCTAATTTTATTTGCTGTCTTTCAATCTTGCCTTTACAAGAGGCAATCACTTAGTGGTAGACACTTCTCCTCATGATGGCCTGACTTCTGTCACATGTAGGAGACTATTACACTATTTATTGTTACATTTCAATAAAGTGTCTGAGTTTCTCTGCCTTCACACAACTCAGGCACCATTTCTTTCTAAATGTAAGTTTAAAATTATAATTTTAAATTTGTATTTTCTCTCGCAACACAAGAATGAAAATTTTGTACTGAATACACCTGATCTTAGAAAGCGTTAAAATATTTATATTAAAAAGTAGGAAAATAATGCTGCATAAGTTTTAAGCCCATCAACCCTCCTGGAAGCTGTGATTAGATTAAGAAATTATTCTTTTGACAGAAGAAATCTGTTAAAAGTTTCAGGCTATTTTATTTAACTCAAATTCTTCTGGCAACACACCAATTACCTAGCCACATTAAATCTTAAATCAGATCTTTAGGAATCGTTGGTATAGCAACTCAAAATAAGCAGATCTTAGGAAAGCATCCCTCCAAAGTAATTCATGCAAATTACGGATTTTCAGTTAGTCTGAAAGTAAGGTGTGAAGTAAAAGGCTATGATACTCAGATATTAAAGGCTTTTTTAGTTCTTTGAATTATCAACAGTGAAAGGAACATCTTTTTTGTCCACTAATACCACTGTTCTAAGGTTAGACTAAATAGTTCACTTTCTAAAGTCACCCCAGTTGTACAGATGCACTCTGACCACTGACTGGCAGACAGACCTCAACAGATGTTCACAGGTTTTCAACCCATCAGTCCAGAATTCTTGTACTCAGCTCCAGTATTACTACTGCAGTATGGGCAATAGATACAAAATATCTGTGCTGGTTCTGACCTGTAAGTATGTGTTTTAACACCACACTGCTTAGTAAGAGCTGTGTGCTGCTTAAATTTTTGTGCATTTTCTCCACAAGCCACTTATATATACTCTGCTTACAGTTTAAATTTTAAAGTCTCCTTTTAATGTGTTGGATATATCCCATCTCTCTCTAAACTCAGTGGCAGAAACTGAGCGTACAACATCAAAAGTGAACCATTTCTACATAGATAGCAAAGGCCTGCTTCCAAATCTGAGAATACTTGTCATACCTACAACTCTAACAAATAAAATTCTTCAGTGGCCCGATACAATCTCCTACATGAAGTGGATGCTAAGAAAACGAAACTCCTCAATGTCTTAACTGTACTCATATTGCACATCTGTCAACATATACTCTCCAAGTACCGTTGCTGGTTGTTACAAAACATTGCTGTTCTCTAGGTGAGAAGAGTAGAGAAAGACAAGTAGGAATGAGTTAGCATGTCCTTTTTCCCATTTTATTGAAAACCACTCTCAAAGGAAGAAAGGTTTTGCCTTTCCTGATTTACAGAATGAAGCAATTGAATCATATACTCACTTCTTGTGTGTAAGGTCCAGACCACTGTTGACTATTCCCTCCACCTTGACATTTTTCTGTCCACAAATATTTCCATAACTGTCATATCCTGAAAGCAGTCTTGCAGCTGCTCCTGTAGCTATTGAAAAGCCACAGATAAAACCCTGGAGGAGAAAAAAACCCCCACAGTTTAGTAATACTCTGTTTGACAGCTGGGAAAAGTCAGTTTAATTAATTTGTTTCTAAGCGGAGGTTCTTTAAAAATTCTTTCAGACTGAAAAAGGAAAGACAAGGACCATCCACAGAGAACTGTTGTGCAATTATAAAATTGAATGCAAGCCAGAAGAGGATTCAGACATCTAACACTGCATATTATCCAAGCATAGTTAACAATCTTGTAGGTGTTTTTTTGAGAGTCACATTGTCAGCAAGTGGTGCATGAAGCAGAAGGGAGGCCAAGGGCAGGCAGTGAAGGAGAGCTACAAGCAGAGCTTGAGCTGTCAAGGGTTAGTATGCATCTTAGATTATTCCAGACAGTCCAGATTTGCTTGCTTCAAGATTTTTTTTTTCCTTCAAATTATGTACTTTCAAAGATGAGTTAAAATGAAGAAGCCTATCTGACAAGATCCTTTTAAAGAAATCCTCTAAAGCAAGTGACCAGGTAAAGGCCACTATGGTTCAAGACGCTGTGTTCAAATGCAGGAAAGACAGACACAGAGCAAGAGAATGCAAAACGGCTCAAACAGACTAATGTGGAAAATACCCACTGCCAGGCAGGTCTTGCTGTGAACTTTCAGTGATATTTCACTAGCAAAACCAAGATCAAGGCGGTGATTATGCGAATAGGAGACTGGCCCAAAAGAATCATTAGCTCTCTAGCAATACCACCGAGAGGGAGAAGTGAACCATCGGCTTACTCCGCTACCATCAATGAACTGTTTTTACAGATGAGGCAAGCTAAGATTTGAGAACGGAAAGCAGAGTAAACAGCTGAGACAAATGTGTGAAGCAACAGATGGCAGCGACAGGATCAGATGAGATGATGACAACAGGTAATGAAGTCAGCATGGAACAGTTAAAATGTGGGTGGTTTTAAAGGTCTGAAGATACAGGAGAGTGACCTTCTCTGATGGACAGGCTATCACTACAGAGAAATTCCAGACAGCAATCTGATCATTATCTTTCTCTTGCCAATGCACTAATGGACTTACAGACTTAATACTCAAAGTAAAAACAAGGGCAAAGTGAGCAAGAGGCTATCACAAGTAAGAATTAAACCTGATTTCCAGCACTCACTTACAATTCTTCAGATCCCTTACTATTCTGTAAACAACATACTAGCATGCATTTTACATACAATAGTACTCAGGTTCTTGGCTGGTTCAAGAATTTTTTTTTCCTGCATACAGGGAAAGGGAAATCATGCAAATCCTCCACCATCTAAGCTAATTTACAACAGTGTGGGGATGCCTTCCTGTGCCATCATGGTACCTGACCCTTCAAGTGAAATCTCCTAAAACAGTAACTAAAAGGGTATTTGACCCAATAGGATAACTGCTCTGTATATGATATTGCTTAGACAGGAAAATCTGGGACACTCACCCACAGCAGACTAATTTATAATTGGGGGAACAGGTAAGTATAGACTCAGTAACCAGGGAACATCAACAAAGGCAGAAAAAAAGCACCACAAAAAAAGAGCTGTTTGTTTCAGGAAGTACTATGCTTTTTATGATTTTAAGATATTCACATTACAGTGAGAATATAATTCACATGATTTAAACAAAACATTTTAATTTTTGCATTTGAAGTGCAGCCAATGACAAACACTTTGGGGAAAAAAAAGAAATTTTTCAATGGAATAATTCCAAAGACCAGAGACCAAGGGACAGTAAAAAAAAAAAGCTGACAGCACAGAAATCCCGAACTCCTAAGGGCTACTGCATGCAATACAGCAGTACAAGACAGTGACAGACATTCTCTGATTATGAAGAACAGCATACATGGGTCCAGGAAACAAAACAAGATGTAAAGAAGCATATTTCTAGTTTTCACTAATCTGCAGCTCTTGGAGGTTTGTTGTTTTAATATAAAGTGCACAGTGTTGTGACGCTGTCTTGAGAAAGGTGATCATTTGATCACGCAGGACAAAGCTGGGATAACTTGGAAAGAAAGATCTTGCCATTAGTAATATGGTTGTTAATAGTAGGTGCTTCTACTAAGCATCCAAGAAAAAAAAACAAAACAGTCAACCGTTTGATATTCAGAATCTTTGTTTCTCAGGAAAAAGTTTACTGTGATTCACATGACCATTCACCAGACTCAAAGCTATGACTTCTGGGAAATCCACAGTCCCATAAGGAACATGAGACAAGTGATACCTCAGCATGCTGAAAATCACTTGCAGGTGAAACTGGAGTTTCAGGGCAAGAGGAGCTGGAGCAATAACTGGCACAAACAATAAATTATGGATCCCTACCAAAGGCTTTTGATACGTACATACTACCCATTTCTGTTCTACAGCTGATGGTGCCCACGCCAGTATACCCCGACCTTACCCTGTGACTAAGTTACTGAAGGGCTTTAAAACTTCTTTCTAATGAATGCAAACTCTTCAACTACGTAACAGTCACAAAATCCTTTGAGTTTTACTCACCATTCCTATGCAGAAGAGGATGAATAAGAGCAGCCATGGTACATCTGTGCAGCTGTGGTCCTCCAGAGGCTTCCACTCTCGCTTGGAGCTCTTGTGTGAGGAGAGAGAGATGAGGTTAACAAAACTGTTTTAATTGTCTTCTGCTCATAACAGAAAAAGTCAGAAAATGATTCTCCAGGGCATTAACATACAGCAGGAGTTATATTTAATATAGCTGAAGCAGCTTGGTCAAAAAAACCGCTAAGGCTCATGAAAGACACTTCAAAAGAAGTGCCTCCACTGGAAGCTAGATGGACAAAGAATTATTTATCCAGATAATTTATCCAGGAATTTACAGGTATTTATCCACAAAACAGGTTTTTTTCACTTATTTTTTTATTAACAGAAAAGAGAAGCTAATGGCATGGAATCAACAATATCTGCTATTGCAGTCTTCCACAACTACCTTCCAGTAATCTGCTTTCCAAGAAGGCTAAAAGGTTAAATTTTTCAAAAGCTCCTAAGTTTTAAAACACTACTGGCAGGTTTAACAAGTACAGTGCACGTAGAAAGGAGGTAATAAGTCGCTGTTAAAGAATAGTTCTCTACCTGCCAAGAGGCAGCTGAGCTTAACATTTCAGCAAAGAAATCCCTAGTCAGTACTGCCCAGGTGCCAGAAAGGAAAGTCGTGTACTTAAAGGTTGAAATACTCAATGATGTAGGCTCTCTTGCAAAGTATAAAGAGGCAGTTGTAAACAATTCAAAGAGTTTGCTGCTCACAACGCAAAATTTCTAAAGTGTGTATACACTGCTAAGATAATTCAAGTCTGTTAAAACAGTCATTTTGCCATCTAGGCAATATGTTTTTAAGAAAAGAATGATTATAAGAAAAGAATGAGCACTGGCTGTAGCACAAAGCTAACCACTGTATCAGAATTTATTGTAACGAAAATATTGATTATAGCTACTTTTAAAAATACACAGTTACACAGACAAGCTTTTTCAGTTACTTCCCACATACTAACTGTTCACACATGTCCACTAACACCCAAAAAATGCAGTGTTTCCATACTTGTGGAAGAAAAGGAGATTGATATAGGAAGAATACAGAATAGCCCTCTTGAGAGACAGAGCAAAAGGGGTAACCTATTCAAATTTTGATTTCATTTTTCCTCTAAGACTCTGACGCATCTTCAAGATTTTGTTGACGAGGTAGCAAATGTCAGTGCTGAATTAAAACAGAATGGTTGGATGAAATGTCAACAGCTTTTATCTCCACTATGTATTTTTGCAGATTTTTATCAAAAAAGCTATAGCACATAACTCATGTGGTATTAGCAAAGTGGTTTTTTGGTATTCATGACTTTGGTTTTTGCTAATTCACAAGTACAAAGCAAGCTTTTCAAATACTACCATTAGAAAACTACAAACTGGGTACAATATAAATGATAGTCTCTGTGCACCATGCTTCAAAAAGCACAGTTGTCTAAGTAGCCTGGCTTTGCATTAGGGAAATCAATGCTACTTTTGCAATCTTGTGTTAATAAAGTTCCACTTGCAGATGTTATATTTGTATTTTTAATTCAAACTGTGCAGATTCACTGAGTTCCAAACAGTCAAACTTCTTTTTATTTTACTCAATCAGTAGTGAAAGGTGCTAAAAGGTCACATTATGCACTCTACAACACTCATTCAACAAAACTGTCTTCTGATCCTGGTGGTTCACACTTAAAACTAACACACTATTCAAACTTAACATTTACAACAAGATTGTGACATTTATATTGCTATAATTAGCATAATCATAATTGCATAAAATATGTAAAGCTTCATGCTTCCTATTCCTAAATCCACACCAAGAACTCTGGATTCTTTAGAGAATTACTTTTATTTACAAACAGCAGAGATAAATTTCAGCTATAGCTGCACCTTAAAAGTAAACTGCCCTTGACAAAAGAGGGAGAAGTAAGATGTACCACATAGTGTGGTTTGTTTGCTTTGTTGTTGTTTTTTTTTTTTTTAATCCTCTCTGTACCATCTGCAAACAAAATCTTTTAATAGGATTTTTAAAAGCCACTAAACATCCTCTAGAATAGCTCTGGCAGAGATTTAGGTTGTCTGACTAGTCAGAGTTACCATAAGTAATCCATTTTATTTACTAAGTGGACTGCAATCTATATGTCAAAAAGAAACTGGAAATGCCATTGCATACCACACAGTTAGAAGGCTACACTGAGGAATTCATTCTGTGTCCATAGTCTTTACTCTGCTCCAAAATAGAATTAAAAAAAAAAAAAAAAAAAAAAAGGAAAAAAAAGGTTTTTTTAAAAAAAGTACCCTTGGAGGCAACTGAAAAGGCACTAGATACTTAGCAACCTTCAATTTCACCACATAGCATACTAACATGGTATGAAATTACGCATCTTTAGAACACCACCTTTTTCCAGTAGCCTGCCCAATCTTTCTTCTCTCCAGACCTTGCTACAACCCAAACCAGCTGCCATTATGTATCTGCAGTTTTCTTCTCAGTTGCTTCCTTGTATTCTGGATTCCCACTGAAACGACTTCCATAGCTTCACAGCCCTTCATCCTCATCTTTGATGTTGGTGTCTGTCTTTGTAGTGACTGCTCCCTTTCCACTCTACATCCTTAGATGTTTACTCAGACCATGATATTCATGCTTGGGCAACACAAATTGCTAGTCTATGGTCAACATAAGGTCTAACAAATGTTGTTTGTTCTGCAGTCTGGAAACTATGCTTTGTCTCAGTCATAACTGAAATACCATAAAATTTTAGCAGACATGCTTTGCCTGCAATCCTAAATCAGCACTTCTACTGATTTCAGCCTTTCCTCCAGACAAAGAGCCTTCAGCATCTGCTGATGCAAGAAAGCTAGATAACCTGGAGGAAAAAGAACGTTTTTGGAAATTATTTGATCCATTTTAAGTTTTCTCTTAAAGCAGAGCTTTCACAATTTATGCTATGCTCTCTACTGATATTCTTGCCATTAACAAAGCACAGGACTACCTGTGCACTGTTATGACAGCACAGAGAATCAAGAGTAGTATCAGTCAAGAGTGGAAAGTGGGCAAAAAACCCTATCTCTCCAAGACAAACTTGCGGGTTGGGAACAATTTTCCTGCCTCTAACAACTCTTCTGTGCTGATTTTAAGAGTTATTTGCTCAAGAACCCAAATAAGTGTGTTCAGAAGTTTATGTCTGTCCATTTTGCAGAAGATTTAGCAAATTCAATGCTTCTCCAAGCCGAATCAGAACTGTTGGGTGCAGCACAATTTTACAATTACATCTTAATTCCACACCTAGAAAGTTGGATGTCTAAAGTTAGGCTTTCTCTTGCAGAAGATAAGTGTGAAGAATGCCAGCACATTAGCTGTTGGCTTTTCTAGTTGAATTCAGAGCTACATGGTCTGGAGACAGCAAGTACTTGTATGCAAACGCAAAACATAAAGGGGCTATTTTCTTGGTATTCATTGCATCCAATCACTTCAAAACAAACACAGAACTGCCCCCTCCAGATTTCTTTCTCCCTGCCACTTCCAAAATATACCTTTGCAGCACCAAATAGCAGGCCTGAATTTGCATCTCTTCTGCATACTGTAACATACTTCTTTACAGGTATCAACATAGCACAAAACCAATGGTTACCACTTCCACTGTTAACTGTAATAGCTATACTGGATGCTACCATACAAGCACTCACCGGCCCCAACCAGAGTGCAACACACACACATAAGAGCAGAAAAAGTGTAAAAATACGGCATGTCAGCAGGAGACTACAGATGCAAGGAGTTAGAGAATTTTTTTAAAACATAAAACATCTCATGCAATGTACAATTTGGGAGTAATGTGATTGAAGCAAGAAGCCAAGTAAAGAACATCTGCAGTATTATATATATGGATAATCAAGCTGTGGGTAAGTAGCAAAGACGTGAATAAGATCAGGATAAAGATGGAATTTGCCATCAACAGAGGATGTTGCAACATCATGAGAAAGGCAGCAGAAAGAAATCCTAAAATCTCATGGTGATCAGATCATATGTTTCAGGAGGAAGAAATTGAAGCTACTACTGAGACAGATGGGCTGAATTAAGGACAACCCAGTGAATAACTGGCCTGAATAACATCCACTGGATGAAAAAGGAGATGCAGGGAGAGGTTAGACTCTAGGCTTTACTTCGGCTAGCGAGTTTAAGCTAGCAACTGAAGAGTATAAGACCATTCTGATTTACATATGAACACACAAGTGGTAAGAATACAGTCATAGCTTCATTCAGGTAGTCCAGTACAAAAAATAAAACCAAACCAGAACAAACAAATACAACCCCCATAATTTTCAGCCCAAAACAAGTCTCAGAGAGATCCAGGATGACGGATGTCCCATCAAAATCCTATAGGAAGATTCCCTAGTCATGTGGAAGGCCAGTCGTGCGAACTGCTAATCTAACTCCAGGACTACAATACACAGTGTTACGAAAGCCAAGAGGTGATAGAATTTTAAAGCAATGTCCACAGCCAACAAAGCCAAACCAAATTAAACTTCATGAGATACCAGTTACATGTTCCAAGTACACATGTTCTGAAATCCTGGAAGGTCCACATCCAGGACAAAATGTTCATTACCCTTACTTGTACATAATGCTACATAAAACCTTACATGCAGATGAAACATAGTGACCACCCAGTATTCTTCTACTTCAGCATTTGGTTTAAATCAGTTCCACTTCCAGTCAAAAATAACAGAAAATATGACAGAAAAGTTGAAATAGTTTTTAAACAGAAATGTGCACAAATCATTTTGACATTCCCTCTTAAAAAGCAATAAATTCTTTTTAGTTTCCTTTTTTCTTTAAACCTGGTTCTAACACAAGACAAAGACACTGCAAAACATCCAGTTTTCCATCTGCAAGCATTGAGAATAAGCTTTTGTATTTTCTACCCTTAGAAATGGCCACTTTTTTTTTTTCTATTGAATACTGAATACAAGACATGGCATTTTGACTCATCCATCTAAACAATCAGGCCTAGATGTACAAAGTTTTTTCAGATCCTAGCACACTCAGGCACTTCAGTATTTGGCCCATTCCCCCC